CACACTCTCCCGTAGACCGTTACCTGACAAACTATTGTAACCCCGTCTTTTCCCATTCAATTTCTCCTTCTTCTTTTCTCTTTCTCTGTCTCCGCCCCCTGCTTTCGACTCTGCAGAGAAAGTAAGAAAGAAAAGAAAGGAGGATAGGAGAAACAAGAGCAGTAGATAGTTTCGTCAATGGAGTACCGGAGACGTTCAACTTCTGGTTTTCCTAAGGGTCTTCGTAATGGCCACAGCAGCTTCAACGGGAGAGGCATATTCAACGGCCTATTTGATTATCGAAGGGACTCAGGCCGGGTGGTAGTACAGGATTACGGTGAGATATTTGGCGGTGCTGGTGCTTCGATTCCGGTTCTTGATGTCCCTGAAGTGAATGAGAGCGAAATGCTAGTCGATGTCTTGAGTTCCAAGCTTAATTACTCCAACATTTTTGGCGGTTCTGCAGAGTTCGATTTCGCTGCCTCTCATGAGCAGTTACTATCCAAACCAAAAATGGAGAAAATGTATGTTCTTTTTACGAGTAGTACTCATTTTCGTTCAGATTTTGGGTTACTCATACTTGGGTGTGGAATTGGCCTGCTTGCTGAATCAATTTTAAGGCTGTTGAAAAGATATTATACTTTCTTGTTGTGTTGTTTTAGGCGTTCATGCTTTAAATTTCTGGTTGTTATGTTAGGACTCCGGTGGCCAAGACACGATCCCACTCAGAAAGCTCGTTTCCTTCTAATTTTCCGGTGGCAAATGAAGTTGCATCACTTGAAGCCTCGCATCAATCTTTTGGTGATATAAAGAAGTTCAAGATGTCATGTAAGAAGAGCAGCCCAGGGACCAAAAATGGGACTAACGGGACGATGCATGCTGCCCAGCTCCATGGAGGTCCGGCTGGTTATACTTTCTTAGTTGATGAAATCATTCCATTGCCGACGACTCAAGATGACAAGCCGGTATCCTCTGCAACACATGACGGTTGTCCTACCATCAATTTCAGTGATGGAATGATGGAATTCAGACATCATGGGAGAACCATGTTGGACCTTCCTCCTGACGGTGGTGCTTCTAAACTTAGTTCGGAACGGGATCATGCAATTCAAGGAAAATCCAGTGGTAGTGAATATCATCAAACTGACATATTTTTTGATGCAAACGATGTTGGCCTTGGTAAACAGCCTTCAAGAGTGTCACCAGCTTCAAGCCTGCCGAACAACACAGGGAGTAAGAAATGTCATTCTTCTAAATCTGGTGCTTCCATGACTCACATTTCAGGAGATGCTACTGCTGTTTCTTCACCTCCTTACTTTGATGAGGAAATAGATGTAAATTCAGTGGCAGCTACCTCTGCAGCTGCAGTGAAGAGGGCAATAGAGGAGGCTCAAGCTAGAATAAAAATGGCAAAAAAATTGAAAGAAAGAAAGAAAGTCAGGCACCAAAATTTTGTGAAACCAAAATTTGATGGCTTGACAGGTAATGAGAGGAAGGAGGTTAAGGATACAGTCAAAGAAAAGAAATTTGGAGAGCAGGAAACTTCAGTTCAAACCTTCTCTTCCATAAGAAAGCCAAATGCAATAGAACCTGTCCAAATGGTTCCAGACTTGGGAGACAGAGAGAATGCTTTCGTTGGCAATGAAGCCGCAGGAGAAGCACATGGAGAAAATTTCAGATCATTTATGGCTAACCAAAGACAGGAAGAAATAGAAGAAAGCAAATCAGGAAAAAAGGGAGAGAAGGTAAAATATATCATGCAGTCTATGAATGAATGTCAACCAGAAAAGAATAAAGCCGATGAAAACCAAGAAGATGATGTTAAGAAAGTAGAAGCTATTGAAGAGACTAGCACAGATGTGGTTGAGGAGGAGCAGGATGCACTGACTGCGGCATGTGATTTGCAAGAATCCAGAAACAAGCAGAAGTCAGCTGAAGAGGTTCCTGATCAGAAGCAAGATAGAAACAAACTGATATTTTCTCAAATTTGGGTGAAGATTGAGGAGATGCTTGGAGTTTCCACCGAGCTGGAAGCATCTGAAAGCAAATTGAATAAACTAGAGAAACTGACAGATAATAAGCAAATACTTGAAAGGGAAGAGCCAAAGGAAGATAATAGTTTGAACAGATCAGAAGATGCTCAGCAATGTGCACCTGAGACTGAAGAAAGTCAAACAGTACTCCAAGATATTCCTATGAAAGAAGAATGTGGGGTGAGATTTGAAGAAGCTTCTGAAATGGTGGAGTTGGAGGAGGAACAGAAAGAGTTCTGTGGAGTGGAAGACAATGATGAGAAACACGATTTATGCAGTGAATATGCCGAGAAACTTATAGACAAATTTGAGAAAATGGAAATATTTGAGCAGAAACTTGATGACTTTTATTACGTGGAAGAAAATGAGAACAAATTTAAGGAGGGTGATGAATCAGGAGGGAATCAGGAAGAGACTGTAAGTGTTGTTAAGGAGGTTAATGAGATCAAAGAAACTGAAGAGACACAAAAAGGGACTTCCGAGTGGGAGAACACTGAAAGGGTACCAGAGCAGACTGATCAGCGTGTAGAAGGTGAGAGGATGGAAGAGACTGAAAAGGCTTATGAAATTGAAACTGAAGACAGAAAAAAAGGGACAACTGAATTGGAAAACACTCAGATGATACAAGAACTGACTGGTGGGATTATAGATGGTGAGAAGCCAGAAAGTACTGAAGAGGATCTTATGAGTCATAGCGATGTTGGCGAAGCTGAGGATACATACAAGCAAGTTGAAATAAAAAATCTAATCGAAACTCAGCAACACTTTGAAGAAGTAGTGACAACTCTAGAGGTATTTGCACGTGCAGATAATTTTGGGATAGAAGAACTTACTGAAGCTTGTCTTCAATTCAAGGAGACTGGAAGAGAGTCTGAAGCACTTGAAGTGGATAATGATGTGGAACACACAAGGGTATTTGATGCATCTGGCTTGGCAGATGGCATCTCTGAACTTGATGAGATCAAGAGGCAAGCAGAGAATGCAAGAGAGGCCCCTGCTCTAGACAAAAATGGGATGAATGTTGGTATGATGGATATGAAATTTGAGGAATTCCAACATGATCAACATGCAAAAGGATCTGAAATATTCTGCAACGTAGGAACAGATGTGGACTTGGCATGTGAATTAGAAAAGAGTAATAAGGATTTTGAGGAAGATGGAGCTGCGGTACAACAGGAGAACAAATATGGTTCTGAATCCACGGATGGGATATTGTGGCCAGATAATGGGGAAAGTATTGAAGCAGCAGATCAGCCACCTTGTACATTTGAAGGGAAAGAGGAAACTGTGGGAATAGCTCATGAGACTGAGACAAACCAAAGCACAGAACAAGATGACAAGAACCATTGTAAAACCCTGACAGAGATGGAAATGGACCTAGAGAAGGATGAGCAAAGAAAAAGAGATGAAGCAAAAGAAGGAGAAAAGGAGAGAGTAGCCGTTGAAAGAGCAGTCCTTGAAGCTTGTGATAGGGCCTTTGCTGAAGCCCAAGAAAGGGCTGAAAGGGCAGAGAGGGCTGCAGCAGAAAGAGCAAATGCAGAAGCACATCAAAAGGCAATGCCTGAAGCCCGACAAAAGTGGGAGAAACCTTCTTCTAAGGTCAATGATAAGGCTTCTATGGAGGCCAAGCTCAAAGCTGAACGTGCAGCAGTTGAGAGAGCTATTGCTGAGGCCCGGCAACGTGCCCTAGAGAAAGCCATGTCGGAGAAGAGTGCCTTTCAGGCAAGAAACCAAGCTGAAAAGTTTTCTGCTGAGAGGTTATCTGGTTCTTCCAAATATAATGGAACAAAACATACTGTTCGACCTTATGTGAGTGTCTCAACCGTATGCCATTAATCAGTTTTAAGTGTCAGTGCTACCTGTTATCATCACGATTCATATTTTTGTGTAGCTAGCGTGCCATTCTAATGCTTGTTTCAATCTCTTGTAGGATTCACATTCTAATGGCTCTAATACTTCCACAAGTTCAAGATATCCTAATTCTTCAAGTAATGGTGGTATGTGATACTGTAAGGTTAATCATGTCAACTGCGCAAATTCTTTATCATTGCACAACTAAAACTTATATACAAGCATGCAAGTAGTCACACATTGGAGAAGCTTGCTTAAAACACTTTTCTGATGTAGTATATATAATGTATATTCCTTATCATCTTTTTTAAGGAGATTTAGGCTATTCAAATCTGAATCGTCTATATTTTTGCTTCATGAAGTTATCCACACTTCTGAGAGGTTTGAGGGTGCTAATGGTGAACCTGCTCAGAGACATAAAGCTAGGTTGGAAAGGCATCAAAGGACAGCAGAAAGAGCGGTAGGGTCTCTCTGAATTGGGTGTTAGGACACGTATTGACATTCATTTACAAGCATGGTTGATGACATTTTTTCCTTCTCCTTTATTTTCATTATATGGTATTTTACAGGCAAAAGCTCTTGCAGAGAAGAATATGCGTGATCTTATTGCCCAAAATGAGCAGGCTGAGAGAAATGTAATGATCTCTTCAAATTAGTTTAGGAATGAGAAGCTTCTGCAACTACTAAAAGGCTAGAATTTTTATTTAACTGTTTTCTATCTAATTTTAATGGCAGAGATTAGCAGACACTCTTGATGCTGAAATCAAAAGATGGTCAAAAGGAAAGGAGGGAAACCTGCGTGCACTGCTTTCTACTTTGCAATATGTATGTAGAGTTTTCTGCTTGCATTTCTTCATGAACTTCTTTCTATGAGTCATTCCACTTCAAAATTACACCTTTTGGGCTAGCATAACATTTAGATCACCTGTGGACTCTGGATTGGCCAAGAAATAACCAAGGATTTCTTAGCCATTTAAATCACCCAGCCTAAACCATATATAAAATTTCTAAATGTGATTCCCAAGATAAATATCTCTCTCGGGTTGAGAATCGTTTTCATTTCATTTCATTTAACTCTTGAAATTCGATGCATAACATATATAATATGCAATTCCCTTTGGATAATGGAGGCACTCATTAGCCCTTGTTTTTTTATCTGTTATTTGATTGTTGGCAGGTTCTTGGACCAGAAAGTGGTTGGAAGCCAGTCCCTCTTACGGATCTTATAGCAACTGCTGCTGTAAAGAAGGCCTACAGAAAAGCCACACTCTTTGTTCATCCAGACAAGTTGCAGCAAAGAGGTGCCAGCATACAGCAAAAGTACACATGTGAGAAGGTTTTTGATCTGCTAAAGGTGCATTGCCTCCTTCCCTTTTTCCATTGATTTACAAGGAAGTATTTCATATATACAACAAAATAAAAGCAAGTGAAACACTATCACACTTCCGAATTTGCTTCATCTCAAATTGATCTCAACAGTTAAATATCAAGGGCATTCATTTTTTGGTCCTCACCCTGTCATTCCAACTTGCGTCTAGACATTTTCTACTATCCTACTATTAATGATCTGCAAATGACTTTGTTATTGATCAAGACTCAAGCATGTTTCTCAGCTTCTTTCTTCTTCTGCCTACAGGCAGCTTGGAACAAATTCAGTGCCGAGGAACGGTAGAAACATGGCCTATTTCCACTTTCTAGGTCTGCAAAATGCAAGTAGTAATCCTGTGTATTGAACGAAGCAAATTTTATGGAAGAAACATATGTCAATCTTAATTCAGTACTGGCACTTGTGCCTGAAACAGATTATTTACTCACAGCCAACTCCCAACAGTACATACGATGAGAATCAATGGGAATGCCATGAAAAGAAGATGCCATAAATGAGATTTATCTCTTGCTTGCCTGAAAGCTCATATGGGGCCATTTGTGCTCTGTTTTAATCCATGTACCGATCGCTGTGGCCCAACTCAGACAACGGCCGACGATTATCCAGAAAGAAAATCCATTAAGCTGCTGGACGGCACTACGAGAAAAATGATTTTTAATAACAGAAATTTATAATGAATTTTAAAATCATCATTATAACTTATTACAATTTTGACAGATCTAAAAAATTAGTCATAGATGCATACATATTTAATGATAAATAAAAAAATTTATCATAAAAAATATATTTTGTTACCGAAAAATGTTCATAAAGATAAAATAAATTTTTGTCGATAAAAAATCATCATTATAATGCATTATAATTATGACAAAATTCTAATATTAGTCACATATACCCTACATATTCAATGATGATCAAATAATTTACCACTAAAAAATATATTTCGTCACTAAAAACTATCAATTTTTTATAATCAATGCATCCCACATCGATAAAAAACACATAAGAGAATAATGTTTTACACTATAAATATATCCCACATCGATAAGAAATATTTAAGAAAATAAATTTTTGCACAATAAAACATGTGAAACTCAATAAAACTTGAGATTAGTTTGGGTATGATTAATTTTAATTGGGCTTAATTAATTTTAATCGGGCTTAATTAATTTTAATCAGGTTCGGTTTGATTAATTTTAATCGGGTTTGATTAATTTTAATCAAAATTGATTAGTATTGAAATAATAATATTTTTTATTAAACTTTTGTGATAAATTTATATATTATTTTTTGTGACAAAATTTTTGTTAAAATATTTGTGTTGTAATTATATAAATATTTTTTTATTTAATATCAATTTTAATAATTAATGACTAAATTTTACATCATAAATGCATTTGTGACGAATATTTTTTTATGACAAATAAAATTGTTATAAATAACTTGTTAATAATATCAATTTTTTCTATCACTATAAAATTATTTTTGGTGACAGCGCTTAATTTGTCATTAAGAGCATTAGTGACAAGAATTTTATTAACGATTTAAATTTTATCACTAATAATAATTTATGACGAAAAATAAAATTTTAATGATCAATAATTTAATCACTAAATGTGAATTTTCTTGTATTGACGTGAGGCAGTTTGTGGCTTGTCACTACCATTCAACTAAAGGGAACTCAAACGAATCCTGTAGTTCCTTGGATGTTCAGGTTTCACATGTTT